GGAGGGGGGACTGGCCGGGGCTCGACGCGGGACGGTTGCGCTCCTGGATTTCCCCCCCGCTGGCACGGAGCTCTGTCGGCCGTGAATATGGAATGAGAAGGGAAGGCGGCTGGAGATGGGCCGGCCTTGACATCCGCTCCAACTTCCTCGGCTGGCGGCTCGGTTCGGACATGGTAGGACAACAACAACAACCCAAATCAAAAGCGGTTGGGTTCTCGAGCGTTTTGAGTCCCGAGACGCGGCGTGCCCAAAAAAGGCCATGGAGCCGAGTTGGGAGAATAATTTGTTTTCCTTTCTCCGTTCCAAATGTCCCAGGTTTAGTTCTTGAGCAGTCTCAGTCTGACGTGTGACGTTGACGAGTCCCTCGCCAAACTTCATTCAAAAGCAAGCGGATTAAACAACATGTGGACATTGGCGGATAGTCGCGTTTTTTAGAACATGACTACTGGAGCTTTCTCAACCTACGCGCTCGAAACTACAATTCGGTTGAGTAACCGCAGGCGACACGCAACGCTTTGTATTTAAAAGCATTCACTTTTAGAGTTGGGTCGCCAGCGAAGGGCTTCCTTCACAGGGCGGAAGTTAGCCTCCGAAACCGACGTAAAACTTGTTATATCGTCCTTAACAGACATTCATAGCATCTCGCGTAGAGGCCGAATTGGTCAAAACGCCACCTAATAGGAGAACATGAGGTGCTTAATGCGGGTCACCGCGTAATACTGCCAGGAACGTCGCTCTACTTGGATTGGTGGCTTTTCGCGAGGGAGTTTGGCGTGAGGGCGCTACGGTGCGGAAGCGGACCTCTTGTGTCGCCCGCCGGGCTCCATCGCACCGCGGCTCGGCGAGACGAATGCCGCTCGAAGGCTCGTCCTTCTTGGTGGCTTTTGCCCGGGGCCAGTAGCCGGCCTGACAAGGCCAAGTTCAACTTCCTGCCGGCGGCGGAACGCGCGCGCGCCTGCTTGCGTGTTACTCAGCAGAAAATGGCCGCAGTCGGACACAGCGGGCCGAGGGACAAAAGTGTGGCCAACAGAGGGCCTCCGGTCCCGGCGAGTAGCTGCACATTTTAGAGCCGCCGGCCACGGTCAGTCCTTCATCCCTCGGTCCATGAATTTAGGAAGAAGTAGCACAGGAGACCCTATCCAGTCTTCATTGTGATGACTGATGGGCGAGAAGCAATAAAGTGACATATCAGGACTTGGATGGAGTCAAAGTGTTGATTTGAAACAACTTTTTAACATTTCCTGATACAGCGGACAACACTAACTTATTGTGTCACGTTCTGAAACGAGTATTGGTCTGACCGGTTTTTAATGAAGACAGTAACATTGTCTTCAAGAATTGTATCAAAAGTGTATCAAGAATTGTATCAAAAGTGAAGTGTTATGGAGTGTAATACTAATTATGAAACCGTCATATTCAATGTGTGTCATGAAAGGGCGTGGCCTGAGGTGCCATGTCAGAATCTGTCGTTGGTTAATCTGCCTGTTAATGTCCGAATTGTGGCCTGCAGCAGCTCCTTGTGAGTGCTGTCATTTTGTATTTGTGTGCTTTACTGTGCCGAATCAACTGAGGTGGCTTTCCTTGCCCACGTGTCAGGGCATTAGCGTACCTCAATCGCACCGTTTTGCTTTTATCTCAGCGTACCTGAGGATTGTCACTCAAAGCTAAACAAATAAATGAATAATCATCTGCCTGGTAAATTGGGGCTTTCGTGAGCTAAGGTAGGACTTTAATAAGAAACATGTACTGTTACATGCCTGCAGGAGCAAAAACAGGACTTTCCAGAGTCAAATAAAATGTGTGCGCTTTCCCAGTTTTCCCTCCTACTCTCCTTTTCTTTTCCATCACGACTTTTCCATCTTCAGACGTATCTGAGTCATACAGGGGACGTCAAGTGTGTGGGTAATAATAACAAAGAGGTGCGACGGGAAGTGATGTCATTGGTGCCAGTGAGAGCAATAGTAGCCTCATGCAAACGGGTCTGGACTTTATGGGTCGATGGTACTCATCAGTCCCCTTGTTTCTTTGTTTTCAGGATGAGTTCCATCCGTTCATCGAGGCGCTTCTGCCGCAGGTGCGCGCGTTCGCCTACACGTGGTTCAACCTGCAGGCCAGGAAGAGGAAGTACTTCAAGAAGCATGAGAAGAGGATGACCAAAGAAGAAGAGAGGATGGTCAAGGAAGAGCTCCTCGGCGAGAAAGCGGAGGTGCGTCATGGTACACAAATGTTCATACACGTTTACCTTTGTTACTGTTCATTTTATGGAGTAATTGCTTCAAGTGTTTACTGGAAATAATATAAAGATTTGTATGACCATTTTACTTTAAACGGTCAGCATTTTTTCTTTTATGTGATGAAATAATTGGTTTAGTTCTTTATTAAACATTATAAAGTACAATCTGTCTCTCTCTCTCTCTCTCTCTCTCTCTCTCTCTCTCTCTCTCTCTCTCGAGCAAGCTGTGACAGAGTCGATCAAAATGACTTTTGTAAAGGGCGTAAATGTTCATTCAGAGTGGTCTTTTTTTTTTTTTTTTTGATCAGGCACCACGGTGGACAGCCAGGGTCCAAATTAAACATATCATGCCCATTATGTCCAGCAGAGGGCGCCCTGACTACATTGTTCATTTTACCGGCAGCATGCTGCTCTTGCTTGCGCCAATTATTTTAGAACAGTGGACCCCCGCTATTCGCCGAGGAAAAGAACCGGGCGGGGAAATAGCCAAAGTCCACGTTATTGACACCACCCATCGTAATTGCATTGATCAAAGGAAGAAAAAGGCTTGGGTTTTTGTTTTCAAAAGGCAATAAGCAAAAAGCATTTTCCCTGAAAAAATGGAATTTGTCCACTGTTTTATTTTCTTAGTATCGGTCGGGCAACTTGGCCACAGGTCCGAATGAAATCCATGATGAAGTCACATCCTTATTCAGCAGATCGGTGTTGTTGTTTTGGTGGCAGGTGAAGCAAAAGTGGGCCAGTCGGCTTCTGGCCAAACTGCGAAAGGACATCCGACCGGAATGCCGAGAGGACTTTGTCATGTCTGTCACGGGCAAGAAGGCGGCCTGCTGCGTCCTGTCCAATCCCGACCAAAAAGGCAAAATGCGACGCATCGACTGCCTCAGACAGGCCGACAAGGTGGAGCGGGCGTAGGCGGGCCGATGGCGTCCCTCGGGGCTGACGCGCGGGTGCTTTTTGTGGTTTTGCAGGTGTGGCGGCTGGACCTGGTGATGGTGATCCTGTTCAAGGGGATCCCGCTGGAGAGCACGGACGGCGAGCGTCTGGTCAAGGGCCGCCACTGCGCCAACCCGCTGCTGTGCGTGCAGCCCAGGCACATCTCCGTCTCCGTCAAGGAGCTGGACCTCTACCTGGCCTACTACGTCCACCGCAAAGGCCAGTACACGTCTGCTGTCTGATCGGGCACGGGGGGTGGGCAGTGCAGCCGCGAGTCCTTTCGGAAGCTATTCGCGAGGAGGCGGGGCCTTTGGAACAAAAGTTTGAATGCCAAAACGTTAGGAAGCTAGTCTCCACTTTGGCACCCTTTTCTTTGCTCGGCAGGCTTTATTTTTCCCCCCTGACATTGACCGTTTGGCCTTTCTTCTTCTGTGCGGGTGTACAGCAAATGAAACGCGCGTTGATTGAATTCATTGACAGAGATGAGAACGGCGGACATTTCACAATCATTATCGTTAGTTTTGTAAAATGTAGTTTCACTTAGTGTTTTTTTTATTTGATTTCGTGAACAATTTTGGCTTTAGTTATTGAGTTTTGTTTGTTTGTTTAGTTTTCGTTAACTTTGCAACGACCGGTTTGTCATTTGTGCCCTGACCTGAAGTGGCGACCAGTCCGCGCCCTTTCTCACCCTACAACAGCTGGGATGGGTTCCAGCTCACAAGCGGTGTCGAAGATGGGTGGTTCCATATCTTGCAGAGCATGAAGATGGTAAATCCATGGCTATCTTCACACCTTTCCCTCCTTTGTGTGCGCGCAGAGGCCGAGGAGGGCGGCAGTCCCGCTCGGACAGCGGTGGCCTCCGATCAGGAGGACAGTCGCACCGCCACGATGGGTAAGCGTGTAGCGTGAGCGCCGTCCGCGCTTGGCCTTCACTTACCGGCTTGCATGTTGCAGACGGTCCCGAGTTCCAAGATGCCTTTGTGACGTCGGGAGTTTTCAGCGTCACCGAGCTGGTGCAGGTGTCGAGAAGTAAGTCACCCCGTGCGGCTTTCAGCCTCGAATTTGCTTTTTGCTGTGAAACGAATAGCCATCAAACGAAATAGCTCCTGGCAATTTCTAGTGTAGTCACCTCACTGACTACCTGCCCACCTCACTATCACTCACTCCATTACTCTCGTGTCCGGTATAGTTCATGAAGCTTTGATTTGAAATACTCTATTTTCGATCTACCAAATTTTTGGAAAGAACATTTTTAACTTGGCTTGGCTTTAAGTGAGTTTCAACGGTCATTTGTTATCAGGAGAAATTAAGCATGTCCCCAATGGGGGAAAATAAAGCAAAAAAAAAAACCGTAAAGATTTTATTTGAAGGTCACATCACGCAGGCCGAGGATGCACCTGAACGTGACATGAGGAAAACTAATAGAGAAGAAGGCCTGAAGTCAACATGTCTCTGGCATCTGCGTGTGCGCTCATGTGTTTGTAGCTCCCGTCGTCTCCGGGGTGGGACCAAGTTTCTCCATCGGGGAGCTCCAAGGCCACCTGGCCTATGATCTCAACCAGGCACTTCCCCAGCCCGTCAACATGCGGCGCACGCTCGCTAGCACCTCGTCCAGTGGGTAAGCACGCGCACACAAACTGGTCAAACGGCCGCGAAGAGCACAACCGCAACGCAAACTACAACTCCAAGAGCCTAAAGATGGTCATTTGTCTCTAAAATTGTTGGAAGTAAAAGTTTACGCCTTGCCCATCTGGACAATTGGAGTGACACTGTCATCTACTGGAATGGATGTGCAATGAGACTAGTAAAAGCAAAAAAACCCACGGCATATTCACACGCAAGCATGGCACGAGCCCCCTCCCGTTTGAGAAGGACGTTTCGATCCATATGTCCACCTAGTCCTTTTATTTCATTTGAACCCCCGACTTTGTCTGCACCTGTCCGTCTGCGTGCGCGTGCAGGAGTAAGCGGCACAAGTCGGGCTCCATGGAGGAGGAAGTGGGCAGCCCAGGTGGAGAATATTACCACTCGCCGTCCTCTCCGGGCAGCAGCTCCAGAAACTGGACGGATGACATGGAAGGAGGTAACGCAACAACAAAGTGAATCTTTGCCTGTGTGTGCGTTATTCTCTTCTCTCAGTGCACGCGCGCGTGTGTGTGTGTGTGTGTGTGTGTGTGTGTGTGTGTGTGTGTGTGTGTGTCAGGAGTGTCTCCTCCAGTGAAGAAGGCCGAGCTGGACAGTCCTTCAGCCCAGGAAAACTCACCCAGGCTGGGATCGTTCACTCAACATCATCGGCCCGTCATCGCGGTGCACAGCGGTCAGTGGCGACTGAGCGAACTCGTGTTCGACAAAAAATAGAAATGATGTCGATATAACGCGTCGTTTTTTTGAGCCTTCGTCTAAATATCAAAGGAAGCGACACGGTGACATACAGACTCATTGATGTGCCTGATGATCCTTATGTGTGTGTGTGTGTGTGTGTGTGTTCAGGTCTGTCCCGTCCGCACCCGTCGCCGTCTTTGCACTTTGCGTCCTCATCTTACTTCCCTCACGGAGCGATCCGTTACCCTCCCCACCTAGGCCAGGACCCCCTGAAGGATCTGGTCTCCTTGGCCTGCGACCCCGCCAACCAAAGCTCGGTGAGCGAGCGCTTCTTGGCAACGGCACTTTGTCTTCTTCCTTCCGCTCCGTCCTGAGTGCCCGCCGACGTCAAGCCGCCCAGTAGCTCTTCATCCGACGGGCCGGCAAACTCCCCCACGTCGCCCAGTAAGTGCTCGGCAGCTCACAAGTCTGCCTTGGTTTCCAAATGCTTTTCAAATCCACATTTCTCCATCTTCCACCTCCCCTTCCCACATTCCTCGACTGATTCACTTCCTTCCAAATTCAAAATGTTCTGCTCATTCCTGCTGTCATGTGAACCCTTCCCGTTCTCAAATTTCCCCCACATTTTCAAAATAAGAGCCGTGAATATAAATTTTCCAGCCCTGATTTCCACACTGTTTTGCTCTTTCCGTGTAATTTCACATGCTCCTCCATTAATTTCACATCGCTGTGCACAGCGGGCGACCGGTTAGCACATCGGTTTCACAGTGCCAGAGGCGCAGGGTTCGATTGCGTCGGTTTCACAGTGCCAGAGGCGCAGGGTTCGATTCCGGCTCCGGCCCCCCCGGCTGGAGTTTGCATGTTCTCCCCTTGTCTGCGCGGCTTTTCTCCGGGTACTCTGCTTTCCTCCCACGTTCCCAAAAACATGCACGGCAGGCTAATGGAACGCTTTTAAATTGTCCCGAGGGGTGATTGTGAGCGCGGATGGTTGTTCGTCTTTGTGTGCCCTGCGGTTGGCTGGCCGCCGGTTCAGGGTGTGCCCCGCCGACTGCCCAAAGTCAGCACGCCCGCGATCCTTGTGAGGAGAAGCGGATTCGAAAATGGATGGATGGCATTCCAAATGTGGTCATTCAGCATTCAAACGCAATTCCTCCAGAATTGTCTCGTCATATTTTTCCTCACTATTTCGCATCGAAACGCGGCTAACCAACGGCGCGGCCATTTGGTTGGCAATCCTGGAGAACAACTCGCACCGGCATTTGCGTGACCGAGGCCACTTGTAAATCGGGTCCATAGAGTGTGCCAAAGTGGACTGATGATGTCGTCACAACAGCGTACTCGGCCCCCGGGACTCCAGGGACCCCTCCTGCCAGTCGCTCCTCCTTTGTTGGCGTTGCGTCTCGAGACCCAGGTGGACTCTACCAAGCCCAGGTTGGTCCTGATCTCAATTTGCACAAAGATACGAGCACGTAGTAGGATTGCACAAAATGGATTTCACCTGCAGGAGGAAGAGATGTGAAGCCGCTTCTTTGTGTTCTTTTTCTACTGTTGTGAGAGAGACAAAGCACTGCGCCACTCCACAGCGCCCCCTGCCTTCCCAGGCGGTGTGTAACAGAAGGATGTGTACATGTGGCCAACGTCGCTGTTTTGTTCTTTTGGGCCGGCCCAACATGCATGTTGGGCCTGGTCCGGCCCCCGGGCCGCCTGTTGAAAGGCCCTGCTATAGAGTCGAAATGTGCGCTGCACTGTAGTTGCGAGCTAGAGAATAGGAATGTGATGTGTCCTCGACCGTAGGTGATGTCGGTCGGTGTGCAATTTGCTGCATTGCAGTCGATCTGATCTAGAAATCCTCACCGCTAAAAAAAAAAAGAAAAAGAAAATGCTGAGGCTGCTACCCCCCCGACGCGTATCTCTAGGCATCGCTCTCGTCCGAATCTACTTTCGTGACAGTGAGCTGAGTACAGTTTATAGTAAGTCCTATTTCTTGTCATGTTTAACGACGGGGCCCTGCCGCGTGTGTTTGTGTGTGCGTTCCAGTCTTGGTATCTGGGCAACTGAAACGCGACACGATCTGTTCTGCGTGTGCTCACACCCAAACGCAAACGATTGATATCAGCGACCCCAGTGAGGAGGATCGCTTCAGATCGAGGATGGAGGATGTTCGACACACGATGCACTTAACGCGTACGGGTGTGGGCGCACGGCGGGCCGTGAGCCGCGAGGACTCCAAACGGCTCTCGAGACTGGTCGCCGCAAGGATTTCCCGGGAAAGGATGTCCATCACGCCCTCAACGCCGCCCCTCCCTGTAGGTGCTGCTTACCATATATGCAAATAAGCCTTGCTCTTTTTTTTTTCTGTATTTCCCCAAAGACTCCAACTAGAGAGAGAGTGAGACGCACCATCTTTTCATTCAAACGTGATTTTTGCACTTTTTGTCCCCCCTCTCGCCTCTCCTTTCTCCAATCGTCCCCAAAGAGAGCGAAAACAAAAAAAAAAAAAAAAGAGGGAAAGCAAAAAAGACTGGGGTTGACAATCACTGTCAGTGTGAAAACATGAAGTTGGACGCTCAGAAGTACGCGAGCGCCGACCACTCTTGCCCTCTTTCGGGCAGAGCGTGACGCGCAGCCGGCCGCTTCCCTGTCATCTGGCGACAAGTTTAACACCGACACTCGTGTCGACGTCAACTCAGATGCTCTTGTCGGCGGTGACGAAATGCGCAATCGCTACCTTGACGGCACAAAGTTTGGGTCACCTCTGCGTGAAAGGATTTGAAGCGATGGCCCCCTCAGAGAAGGAATGTGGAATGTGCCCCCCCCCCCCAAGAATTCTGCTCGGAATCCATCCCATCCGTCCAGCCCCGCTCGCTGGACCTTTTTTCAAAAGTCTCTTTTGCACGAAATGTCCTAAACCACAGTACGTGCCTTGCCTTCTTCACTTCAACTAAGAATAATAATGACACCTTTTGGAAACGTAACAAAACTTTTCATGGTACCGCTTCAAGAGCCCCCCGGCCCCCCACCAAAAAAGTTGCATGCCAGAATGCTTGACGCTTGGTAGCCCAGCCGGTACAGACTTTTGCATTGGCGATGGATCATTTATCCGTGCTAAAACGAATATATCCGCTGTCCCTTTGTAATGGACCCGAGTTGATTGCACAACGTACTTTCCACGCCTACCCGCAATAGGTGAAAATCTGCCATCCACAGATCGTACAAAATTCTTTTTTAAAAAGGCTTTTAGCCATCAGACGCGTAAAACGCTTTGAAACTCAATGAGAAAACTCCGTAAAAGCTCCGTAAAAATACACTTTTGAAAACTCTCCCGTGCCTGTTCTCGCTCTGGAAATGGAAGACTGTCGTATAATATCACTCTGACGGTGTGGCGACAAATGACGGCACGGGCCTTAGCTTTGATTGGCTTTTTGAACGCCGTCCACTTGAGTCATCCAGCTTGAGTTCCAAACCCAAGATCATCATTTTGAACTGCTCCCCCCCCCCCCACCCCAATGTTTTTTTGCATGTACTTTTCTCAAGTTTATCCTATAACGAACACACACGTGTGTCTAAATACTCTGAATGTATACGAAGCGTTTGACTGGTGGCCGAGCCACACCTGCGCAATTGTGATGCTAATGATGCTAACGCTAACCTCTGTCGGGAGGATAAACTTTTTGTTTGCGAAGCGGAAAAGGGAATAAGTCAGCGAGCAAGGTGTGCGTCACAAAATCAAAGAGAGGAACAGCAACAGCAAGAGCGAAACCACCAAAGCCATGCAAATCTCGTCATGTGGACAAGTTGAAAACTTTTGAGTCCCTCAAAGGGCTTCTTGTCCGCCCGAACCAAAGCTGACCGTTTTCTTCATTTAGCCCAATGCTCTTGATTTGCTTTCCGCAACGTCTGTGCGAGGGCGCCACGGGAGGCGTCCGCCTCGCCCCGGCTCTCTTGGGTGGAGTTTGCACCTTCTGCCCGTGCCGGAGTGGCTTTTCTCTGGGTACCCCGCTTTCCTCCCGCATTCCAAAAACATGCACCATAGGTGAATTGAACACCCTAAAAAAAACAAAGCTAGTTCACATGGAAACAAGGCCAAGGTCACAAAGAAAAATTTTGCGCTTTGGTTTTGGACTCTACTATTCGAATTTGGGGATTTTGTTTTCCAAACGGTAACACAAAACTGTCCTAAGTTGTTCAGTCATTTTTTTTGGGGGTGCAAGAAAATGCCCCCCCCCCCACACCCACCCTCCACCTCCAATGCAATTCTAATGGGGGTCAGTTATTTGCATAAGTTTTGCTTTGTTTTGTGGCCCGGCTATGTGGGTCCACTGCATTTTTTTTTTTTTTGAATATTTAAGATGATTGATCTGTGGAGGAAATATTCATGTTTTCTTTGTCATATTTGGGATCAATTGGCTGAGTCAAAATTAATTAGTTGGGTAAATTAGCGATTTATGATATGATTAGTTCATATTTTTAAATAAATTGAGATTACAAAGAAAATCGATTTTTTTTTTAAAGAACAGCATATTTTTTGTCAACGTTTTATGATGAATTCGAAAAAAGAATGTTGATTAGGTGAACATTTTACTGATCAGTGAAATGGTCACTTTAGTCGTTTTTTTTTTAAGAACAGCATATTTTTGTCAACATTTTATGATGAATTCGAAAAAAGAATGTTGATGAGGTGAACATTTTACTGATCAGAAATGGTCACTTTAGTCTTTTTACCAACTATATATGTTATCAATTAATTGTAAAACTCATTTTTACATCAAATGCATTTTTTACTCCTTTTTTTTTTTTTAAATCAACAACTGAATATCTGTCCCATATTGATGGTGAGAACGTTCATTTTGTCCTCAATCTCTAAAGGCAGGCTTAATTCACTATTATTTTTTTTTTTAAATCAACAACTGAATATCAGTCACATATTGATAGTGAGAACGTCCATTTTGTCCTCAATCTCTAAAGGCAGTCTTAATTCACTATTGATTGTTTTTAATGATCGAGTCTCATGTCCGTTGCAATAAAAATAACCCTTGGAAGCGTTTTTGCGACGAGCAATACGGTATTTTGAATGTGACGATCCGGCTGCGATTGGAGACAGCAGTTGGCATAGTTTCCATGCTAATACTAGCATGTGAGCTAGTAATGCTAACAAACGTAATGCTGAAAGATTTTTGGGGGTTAGCTTCACCCCGGCGTGCTCAAGAAATTGAAAAAAAGGGGGAGGGGCGAGAGGGGTGGCGTGTCGCTATAAATGAGCGAAACGTCGAGAGCTGTTTTCCACACCACAAAAAAAAAAAAGGATTCTCGTGTGAGTGTTTTGATTTGGAATGCTTTCTTTCCTCGCAGCGAGCGAAGCGACGCGTGGGTATTGTCCTTTGGCGGCAAAAGGAGAGGCGAGCGGTGGCGAAAGAGAGGCTCGAAGGTGAAAAGTACGCACGTGTTTATTGCTGCCACGCCCCTACCCCAATTTAAGGTGACAAAGTTCACACTCGAATGTGATAAGTTTCATGTGAAACGTTTCGCATCTTAACGTGACCAGTTTCATGTGAAAAGTTTCACGCGTCTTCACCTGAAAAGTGCGGCGTTCTAACGTGTTCAGGTTTGTGGTTCAGCGTGCACTTTGGTCATGTCCTGCATTATAACGTCAGTTTTTTTTCATGACAAGTTCAACTTTTGATGGGATGAGTTCTCACGTTAAATTTTGTTAAGTGTGACTTCCGGTACACCTCAATGGTCCTTTGTGTGTGTGTGTGTGTTTTATGAATCAAATTCCCAAGCGATGTCACTTACGTTGCTCTCCTATGATCCTGTTAAAAAGAACCAGGCCAAAATGATTTCAAAAGGAGATGCCCGATCCCCCTTTAAATTGGTCTGAATAGTTTTTTTTTGGTGTGGCAGCAATACGCTTCCAGAGAAAAGGGCTGCAGTTTAGATGCTTTTTTTTTTTTTTTTGGCTTTCTTAACAAACAAATGAGCAAAAAAAACAAAAAGAAATGCAAAAACTTTCATATCAACCTTTATTTGCATGACGTGTCAGTTGTAAGAAAGAAATGAGATGTTTGGACTTGACACCATGACGATGATGTCACCCGAACAAGGACAATGCTCGCATTCAGTCAAAGCTGATGGATTCTTTACTTTAAATATGATTGCCTATGCAAAAACAACAACAAAAAAACAACCCGTCAATAAAGAAGTTATATCACAGGTGGATGATGATTATTACTGGGCAATGGCTGTGGGGTGGCGCGGGGGACTGAAAAACACTTCAAATCATCTCACACTCGCCGCCTGAGATGCCGACTATTCTATCCGTTCAAATCACGACCGACACGTTTTTCTCGTCCCAAATGAGCTTGGAACCCGTTTTGCTTTCTGACTAACAAATCAGAAGAATGCCGGAAGTGAATTTGAAACGCGCCCGTTGATCATCCCGCGCTTTCATTTTGGTGCCCGTTTGATCTCAAGTGGCTCCGAATAACGACCGCTCCATCAAGTGAGTTCTGGGTTTTCTGTTTCCAAAACACCAAGCCAAGAACCAAGTCAAGAATCGTGTGAAAAAAAATGTCAAGGACCTTTACACCTTCTCTCACTGCTCTCCAGCACCACCAAAAGGCGGTGCAAGAACCATGTGACAAGGATTCAAAAGATTTGAAAGAAACAAACAACCCTCCATCAAAAATCAAGTCACGAGCCAGACATAAAATGTCAATCTCTTTTCTTCACTTAGATGTAGGGGAAGAGTCAAAAGGTTAATGCCCCCCGCCCCTCCCCCCCCAAAAAAAGCACAAATATGGCAAACCCTAACAATAAGACCAGCCTCTGATTACATAAGTTCCAAAATGGAGTGCGTGTTCACTCACTCAAACAGATTCAGCCCTCTTGGCAACATGTGTGAAAGTGATTGGAAAGCAAAAGTCAAAGGAGCGAGTCAAGAACCACAAACAGAGGTTTTGGTATTTGCATCAAGACAGCATTAATATTGGCGTCAAAGTCAACTCCAAAAGGAAGGAGAAGCTAAATGGCAGCTGTGATTCTTGCATTACGCATGAGCGCGGGTAAAGATAGCCCAAACAAGTTGTCATATGCCTTTTTTTTTTTTTTAATGTATGATTCCGGCGGAGTTGCAGAGCGCTGACGTTGATGTCGTCGAGCCTTTAGGCCTGCTGCAACGGGACGGCAAGCGGGAAAGGACAAATCTGGTGGATGGCCGGCTCGTGGGTGGTCAGCAGCGCCGTGCAGGCGGCACCTTCCGGACTGTCGTGGAACGACCCGCACGTGGGCTCCTGCACGCCTATCGGGAGCGGGTCGGTATTCTGCCGACAAGAAATGAGAGGGACGATGAGGCGCTCCGTGTGCGCACGCTAAGTAGATGTTTGGCGTTTTTCCTGGACTTACCCTCGGTAGATACAACTCACACTGGAGTTCGCCCACTTGTGCGGTGCCGTGCGAGTAGGAGGTTTTGCAAAAGACGTGATGCTTCAAAAAGTAAGATTAAAAAAAAAAAAAAAAAAAGGATGTCAACGAACTCCAACATTGGAGCGCGTAGCGGCATCAGTGCAAAAGCAAACTCACAGCCCGGTCCGGGCAGCGAGGGCTGCAGGCCTCAGGCACGATCCTGGAATGTTTTGGGCAGACGGTCTCCACCAGAACAAACTTGGGCCAGGTGATCATGCCGACGCTCGGAATGTACTGCCGCGGGAAGGAAGGAAGAAAGAAAGAAAGGACACGCCCGCACAAAAAGGCGTTGTTGAGAAGGACGTTGGCGGTGGCACGCAGTCACGCGGAAAAGAAGACGGTGGTCACCCCGCTCGTCAGCAGAGAGATTTCCATCAGGGCAAAGTAATTCTGGTGGTTGCTCTCCAGGTTGAACTTTTTCACGGCCTCCCGGACCGCCTGGACGCCCGTCATGTCATTGAGAGGCAACAAAGTCGGGCAGTCGGGACAGTCCGCCATCATCTCCGCATTGGTGAGTTCTGTTGACAGTCACGAGAGCCGAACTAAGAAAGGAGTCAAATCAGCGTCTTGTAAGAAAGGCGAGCTCCCTAATGAGGTCACGTCGGAGACCCGAGGCGTTGTCATGTTCGGAGTCTGCTCAGGAGTGCTCGTGCGACCTATCGTTTGACCGCACACTTTGCAGGCTGCGGGCGGCGCTTTCCGACGGATGTACACTTTCTTCTCTGGTTGTTTGGGAGCGCTTCCTTAAGTCACACTGGGTATGCCGGAGAGTCCCCCTTTTTCCCCCCCCATCCCACACAGCTTCTTGGCTCTACTCGGAACTTTCGAACCGAGACGGAGATTTTCCTGCCTTGATGCACCTCTTATTGTTTGTGGAAATAAACGTGGATTGTAAATTCTAGTTTCCGGCTCTCCAACGTGGTGGATTCAGACGTGGGAGGAGGGACGAGCAGTTCCAAATGTTGCTGACAGTGGGTGCTCGAAAGTGTTGACCTGGTTTGGTGATGCAATTGTGAGAGATGACTCTGGCCTCGACTCCCATCACATACAGCTTGGCGTTACAGGTGGCGACTGCGCCCTAAAAGGCACACACGCACACACACACAGACGCACACACACACACACACACACATGCCCTTAGCATGTGAGCGGTACATGATATGATCTGAGTAAGGCAGCATTTACCCGCTCGGACTGCATCATGAATTCACATTGGTCTTCGGGTTTGGGGTTGGTGACGTGACATTGGCTCTGCATCAGATTCATGTTGATGTCAATGCTGCAACCTCCCTCCCCCTGCACGCGTGGACAAACAAATGAGAAAACAAAACAACAAGGAGACTGACTGGACTTTTGGCAAGATTTCCCAAAAGCGCTGCCGGCTCACCTGTTCATATGTGCTGCTCTGGACCTCCAGCAGCTTGAACTTGAAGCCGTGCTTGTGGTGCTCGTTGATGTGATGGACGGCAAAGTTGACCGCCGCCGTCACGTCGCCCGCGTCGCACGTGACCGCCGCCCCGAGGAGGCCCGGAACGGCCGCGGCGCAGCACAGCAGAACAGCCAAGAGGTGAGCCACCATGACGATGAAGACGACCACCGGGAGGAACGGGAGCCGGCACAATTCAGGCGAGTCACCGCCGCGCTTTTATGGCTGCCGACGAGGAGGCGGCGAACGGCGACGGGGAAGGGCCAACCGGGGCACGAACAAACATAGACTTTCACCGGCTTGTCCGAGGGACTCTGCCGACCAATCGCAGGAGAGAAAATGAGCCACGTGGCCCTGAACCTTCAATGCCACTTGCGGGAAGCGTTGCAGGAAAATCAATCGAAGCACACAAACCAACAGACAAGAGGTTTTGTTGACTCAGCAGTTCACGGGGGGGACAGGGGGTAAAGATTAAATTTTCCTAACGGCAAAAAGTGCAACCAGTTGCACATAATTGGATTTCAATAAATAAATGCTGTCTCTGTGTGTGTGTGTGTTATTTTTTTGAGATTTGTTCTTGTTTTTCTTCAAGAATTGTTGAATGTTTTTTTTTTCTTGAATCGATCAAAAAAATGTAAACGTGGGAGAAATATGTCAAAGTGTCTTTTATTTGAAGAGACTTTCGGTGGCATGTGTCTGACTTGGGGCCAAATTCACAGCCGGCGACACCAAAGTCACTCGAACAAACCGGTGGTCCCCTGGCACCACACTGGTCCTTCACATCAACAAATCACATTTTTTTTCCCTTGTCAACAATAGCATCAGATAGTACGATCAAAAAAGCAATTTGAGGAAACGTATTTTCAATGTGTGTCTCAAAGCTGTTAGCCCTTGGCAAGAACCAGTTGCCAAAAACTTCGCTGTCGGTTTCAAACGGGTTGTTGGCCCCCAGTGGAGGGAGTTTAGCAGGTCATTTGCCCAAAGCTGGTTAAAGTCCAGGAGCTATGCAGTGCTTTTTTTTTTTTTTTTTTGCTGGTCAGTTAACCGCTTTTACTGGATCCCGAAATTTGTGATCTGTGACGATTCGAAGACCATCTATAAAAAAAAAACGGAGTGCGGCTCTGTCGTAGATCAAGAGAAGCATTTCGAGTCGAGGTGCCTTGTTGCTCGTGTGGCTGCAGCGGTGTCAAAGTCATTTTTGCCGCGGGCCACCTTGGGGTGACGTCTTCCCTTGGTGTTATTAAATCTACACAACAAAGCGATGCATTACTAGTTTTGAAATCGGTCAAGTATTTTGTTCACTTCATGTTCGGGTGAGTGGAAACAAAATGATTGCAAGTGACCGACTGCTCAGGAGGGCCCGCTCTGTCCTGGGCCGCTCCCTGGACACTCTGGAGGAGGTGGGCAACAGGATGATGCCAAGCCAAGCCAAAAGCTACGATGGACAGACCCTCCCACACCCTCCAGGCCACCCTGACAGCACCGGGCAGCTCTTTCAGCCAGAGGCCGCTACACCCGCGCCGCAAGAAGGAGAGTCGTTCCTGCCGACTGCTGTCAGGCTATTGAATAGACGCACCCGAAACCCTGGACTCAGCCCCACTCAGCCATTCTGAATATGCTTCTATTTGTATTTTATCATTTAGACTTACTTACATACTTTTTTGTTGTTCTACTTCTCCCTCTCATCATTTTTGCTGCTGTAAATTGGGAACTTCTCCATTGTGGGACAAATCAAGGTTTTCTTATCTTATCTTATTCATTAACCTCAACGCATTTATTAGACATGACAATTTGATACTTTGGTGCAGATTTTTAGCAAGGATCACAGAAATTGACAAGGACGATTTGCTTTCGCGGGCCACATAAAGTGACGTGGCGGGTCGGATCCTGCCGCAAACACACCTGCGTGACGTCATCGCACGAGGATGGCCGAGACGAACCGAAGCATTTGGAGTGGACCATATCGCGCTGCTTTGCTTTGTTATCCCCATCCAGTCCAGAAAGACGTGAAAAAAGGGTCTGGTTGTGGGCTAGAACGTCCGTACAACGCCTGCTTGAATGGCTCTCTCTTGAATTTCCGAACCATTCTGCCGCAGCACATCGGCGCGCGTCGTAAGAGATCATTTGGTGCGCCGCAGGACATTTTCCATTGTCACTTCGCGGATCAGTAACGTTGACTACAAATGGTGCATTTTGGGTTTATCGGTCACGCGAAGAACATAGCAAAGAAAAAAAGAAACAAAAAACCCGAAGCAATGGCGGTCACATCGACAAACTGATTAGCAAAGTTTCACGAACCTCAGGCGCTCGTTCAAGGCACGGCTAAAAGCTGCAAGATACGTGCGTCAATGATAACCTGTAATTGATCAGCACACGAGGCGGGTTGATGAACGGGTCGGGCCGGAATGGCGATGGGCAAGTTGAAACACCGCAGCAGCTCTCGTGCGACGCCACCTGTCAAGAGGGATTCCGCTCCGGGATTGCTGCTCCCCCTCTTGTATGCCCCAGTAGCAGGTGGGAGGTGCTGGGTACGTGACGTAAGCGGAACAATACGGTGAGTGATGCCAGAACGCACGTTTCTGTCTCTCGTTTCTTGGTTGTTAGACACAAACATCAGCACTCAACCGCAAACGGTTGAGAAGTCAATCGCGGCTGGCACGACACCGGTCCTGTTCATGCGACGTGATCCGGCCCGCCACGTCATTTGAGGTGGCCCGTGAAAGAAATCATGGATGTCAACTTCCAGGACCCTAATTCTTAAAATGTAAATGTTTTCATGAAAACAATGTTTCTTGATGAAACATTTTCTCAAAATATATTGAAAAACCATGACATTTCCCCCCTCCAAAAAGCCTTCTTATGTGAAAACATTTCACTGGAAAAAAAAAAAATCAGCTTTTCCTATTAAATGAAATAAATGTTGTCCTTGAAAAAAGGTGTGCAAAAAGACTGCAGAGAAACAAAGGGAGGAAAACGTAATGATAAATTAAAAACTTTGCTTTCCTTTCATTGAAACGTGTCTCACTCTTGAGAGGCTGAGAGTCAAGCACGTCTCTTCGCTTATTCCATTCTGACAGTTACGTTACAAGTGCGGGGCAGTTACTTCCGTTGTGTCATGGTCATCCTGATTTTATGTTGGAGCTGGGACCGCCGGTTTTGAACTTTTGACTTCCAGGAACTAAAGTACCCAGTCAGTTCCTGGAACTCCAAATGGAAACTCTATTTTCCATTTTCACTTGGGACTTTCCTCAGTGCTCAAAGTCCCCAGTCCCGAGGGCCGGACAGACGGCGACGCACAAATTTTGAGTGTTCCATTTGCCTGCCATGCATGTTTTTGCAATGTTCCATCCCTTTTGGCAGCGACCGTCTTAGACTCGTGCGTACAGTGCATCTCAAAAGTGGAGGTGACTGCTAACATTCATCCGGAGGATGTGTGACACAACGATAGTGAGCCATACAAACAAATATTTTCAAGAAAAGCGAGTCGCCAGGCACCCCAACCAAAAAAAAAAAAAAAAACAAAACCCCAAAACAAAAGTGTCCCATTCCCTCTTGGAAGGTTTGAGTGGGTCCTTCATTTCCAATGTCTTCCACGAGAGGGCAGAAGTGTTCCTTGCCAAATTGGCAAGCCGACAATCAGAGACACTATTCGAAAGAAAGAAGAGAATCATTCCCTAATTGGCTATGCTGAACAGGAAAGTGTTTTCTTTGAATTTTATATCTATCTTTTTTTTTTTTTTTTACTGACTTGAAGCTATTTTGCTCAGCGACGGGGCTTTGATTGACTAGTGAGGGAAATGAATGCAAAGCAACGCCCGCAATACCAGATGTGTTGGGGGGGGGGGAGAAAATCCCAACAAATGGAAAAACTGCCAATACGATGTTTGTTTTGATTAATTTGTCTGGTCTTTTCTGTCTTCTGGCTGTTTAGCATGCATAGTTTTGGAATGCTGGAGGTCGTCGGAACATCCACAATTCAAATACAAAGCACAAGAAATCTGCACCATGCTGTTTGGATGGCAGGCTGGCCGGAAGGTGAGCTGTTCGCTTACACATATGTGTCATTTAAAAATGTATTGCACCAAAAAATATGGGGTGAAAGGGAAAACCAGGGACTCGCCAAAAGAAATAAAAAGCCCCCCTCCCCCACCTCCCACGTGAAGAAATCCATAACCCAGCCCTGTTTTGCTCCCCTCATCATATCACTGCCTCCTTTCTTCCCGCGCTTCATCCTCTTTGACGTTGAAGCGAACGCTTCCTTCCAGCTGCCTGTCACAAAAACAAAGCCCCGTCGATCCACGAGGCTGCTGCGCGCCATTCGAATCGGACTCTGTTTCCGTGCGGCTTTCCCTCCCACTGCTTCTTTCTTCTCATGAATGATTCAGAGATGAAATGGAAGGGGGGGGGGCGCTTCAGAGTTCAGCCTTGCTTTTTTTTTTCCCCCCTTCATAGTCCAAATATGGATAATGAGAAAGCACCAGGGAGCCTTAATTCCTAAACAATCAGATGTAAGTACACAGAGACAAAAGCTCCACCAAAAAATGTGCGACAGATGATGATGACAGATGGGAGACAGACGAATGGGAACACGAGCAACGTCGACGAGACGCCAGTTGTAAAATTGACTCGGAGTTCATTCTGCGACTCGACGAAGCGATGTGATGGAGTGTCATTCGAAAAATTCCTGACGAATTTCGGTGATCGGTGTCATGGGCTGAATCCCCCGCCCCCCTCCCGTGATCAGACGCCGGATGATGCCGATGAGAAAAATGTCACGGGAACATCATTTTCCAACAAATGCACCAACCGACTTCTATCCCACATGGAGTAGAAAAGTGGTTGGCAACGATCGTGCGGGGGTCCGGCGTACCGAATAATTGTACTTAAACCAAGTGAGGATGGTCCAACCCCCCCCCCCAAAAAAAAACATGCTGTCTATCTATCTACTGACAAGAAGATTTCAACTAGTATGGGGCCACCCAAGACAATTTCCTTAATCACTCATTTTCCTTCTGGCGGTGCTCGATAACTGTCACGATTTTCTCTCCAGGCCGACGGGCCGCAAGGAATATCGGGCTAGTTTGGGTTTTGGCGTCTGCACGCCGAGGCTTTACGAGGGGCTCTGAGGGCACGGCTTGACCGCCGACTGTCTCGAGTCAGGAGGAACGCGCGTCTAATGCCGGGCCGAGGTCATTCGGGGAGACCGAGGACCGCCCCCACATTTTTGGGGACATTTGCGTCTCCGACTTTGAACCCTTTTGACCCTGGGTGCTCAAACGCTCGCGCAAGCGTCGACTAAATAAGAAATGGCGGGGCAGCAATGAAATTGTGTCGAAAACCAGAGAGTGAGAAAATGTTGACTGTAACGGAAGACTAAGAGAGAGGAAAAACTGGAGTTGGAGGGCAGTCTCCTTCCTGCTCGCCAGTCTGAACATGCGCCGAGTTTTCCGTCCCCCCCCGGGCCTTCGTGCTTCTTCTTCTTCTGATCCTGTCGGCTCGCAGCGGCTCTCTTGGACGGGTCGCCGAAGGGGGGCTTTGGGCCCAGCTCCTCCACAGGGAAGAACCCCGCCTCTCAAAGAAAGGTCAGAGGCAGAAATCCAAAGGCAAAATCCCACCGGGGAGGCGGAAGACCACTTCTCAAGGCCTCGGGAAGCCACTCGGGCTTCAATTGCACAGTCGGGTCTCTGAAAATCAGTCCAAAGTCTCTTGGGGGAGAAAGAACGGAAATGTTTGTTCTTTCTCATTCACATACAGCAGTGGTGTCCAAACTATGGCCTGGGGGCCACAAATCATTTCTTCCACCCTTGTGCACGCGATGGCCGTTTGATGAAGACGCGGCAAGAATGCTCCTGATGGAAAAAGGCTCACCTTACTCCCGTTGGCCACTCAAAACCCTCATCTGTGAACACCTTCAACGCTTCTCTCAAGGCATTTCTCCTGCAGCGTTTTCACTTTGTTCAAATCGACCAAGAAACGATTCTAACGAACATTGTACAAGCTGGACGTCATACGTTCCATTTCCGAGAAATACGCAGCACGCGTGGTACCGCGTGCATCCCTGATCATTTGGAGGAAATGAGAAACCTTCCCCCTTCCGTACTGATCTTCTGCTCTTGCATTTAGTTGACGTGCATGTGGGACTGCCGCTTCCTCCGCTGGTCCTTCCCCGTCCTCCCGCGTCTGGAGTGGGGCCTCGGTGATGATGACCAAGCCTATTGCGAAATATTTGATGACATGTTTGAGGTCCCCCCCCCCCGCCTGCGGCCCCTTCTCCAGGTTTCTCGTTTTTCCCCAAATGGGGTTTCGGGGGATTTGTTTCCCTCGCCCTCCCAAAGGGTTCAGGTCACAGGGTGTTGTTCACATTTCAATACAAACACTCCAAAGTTGCTTTCTCGACGGACTTAAACGTGAAAAGAATTTAAAAGTGGCCCTCCGCCGAACAAGCGTGCACACCCTCGATATGCAGAATCTCTCTCTCGAGAGAGAGAACTTAAATGTGTGTCGGGGAAACTTGAACCTGAGGATGGACAACAAGTGCACCTGAAGCATGACGGAGATGTTTCCGTTCGCATGCTCCGGCAATCCCGCGTGCGTCTGCAGCAACGAGATGACGCGATCGCTGCATTTGGACCGGCGAGGAAAACTGAAGTACAGTATCCAGTATATCGCGCTGGAAGGAACCAGCTAGAGAGAAAAAAAAAAAAAAGCTAAAAAATGCCTTCCAGACACACAGATGTGAACATCAAGTTGCATCACGATCAAGGCAAGAAGAGTGGAAGCCTGAATGTCCTCCGGGGGGGGGGCTCAGAGACTCTTTTAGTCTGTGGAAAAACAAACCTTCTCGTCGCTCGCAAGTGCACCAAGCGCTTCGAAATCTGCACCTTATGTCAGCCATGAACCACGCGGTTGAGGCCGCGCAAGTGTTTGCGGCGAGTCGATTAAAATGCTGTGATGAAGGAAGATTTCAAAGTGAGGCCCGGGTGGACAGAAGCGACCATCTCACTCGCTAAAAGCCTCGGATTTGATGCAAGCCCTGCTCTTTCATTTCATACGGTATGGAAATGCGGGCGCTTTGACGAGAAAATCCTCTCGAACCGCCTACCCAAGTAAAAGTACGAGTAAAAGAATCCAGACTGCCAGGACGTGCCAAGAAAAAGAAAGTGAAGTGGAATTAGAAATGAAAGAAGCTAGGCTAACTGTTAGCTCAAACGCTTCCTGTCATTTTCATCATGGCGGCTGACTTGGGGGGGGGGAGGGGGGACGTGATCCATGTATGGAGGAGGGTTTTTCCTGCGTTGAAAATGGCGCGGCCTCCACCTCAGGCGAATTTTGAGGGATTGCAGCTTCGTATTTGAACCGCCGTCGCAGCGTCGCGCCACCATGGAGGCGCGACATCAACAGCGCCGCACGGGAAAGACCCGAAGCAAGGGCTCACGTCCTCCTTGTCCCGCGCGCGTGCACGTCAAGCGCCGGTCCCAAAACACACCGCCAAGCCTGGGATGGATGCGCGATAGATGTCGGACTTGAACGCTCGACCGTAATCCGAGCCGCTGGCGATCGAATTGCATTTGGACGGGCGGCTCCTGCAAAGTGCAAAATCTGCTTGTTTGAGCAAGAAAACGCGGTCGTAGGACAGAGCGAATCGGAACATGACGGCGAGGTGGTGTAAGCGGAGCCGAAGCGTTGTCGGGGAAACGATTCCGGGCCCCTTTCAATCTTTAATGGCTCCATCTTACATGAAGCTGAAAGGTGACGATACGCTGCCCCTTGTCACATTTACCAAGGCGTAGAATCCTTCATGTCTGACATCTCGGTTGCTTTGACAATTCCTGGGCCTGAGTGTGTGTGTGTGGGGGGGGGGGGCGAATTCTAATGACTCACAAACGAAATGACTTGAAGGAAACCTTTTTGTACACAGCGGCATTCATCAAGTGTTAATGAACAGCCCAAAGCGTCGGAATGCAAATAGGGGGGGGGACGGGTTGGAGCGAGCCATCATCGCAATGATGAATGAGAGTGTTGGCAGAGGGCCTCGGGCGATCACTCACTCACTAAGACAGCCGTCTCCGGCCCGAACTTCATTACGGCGACGCAGTCCCATCAGCAGACTTTTTTTTCCCCGATAGGAGCGCGACAGGCCTCAGCGCCAGAAAAGATCCCTTTGACCGCTCGGGCGTCGGTGGCTTGCCACAGATGGAGAGCGGGGCTCGCTTCCGCTCTGACTCGGGAAGCCTCAAAAGCAGCCGGCTCACCGTGAAATTAACGACATATTGCTCGCCGCCGGTGTTTCCCTGATCGCGGCTTGCAAACGCAGAGGAAAATTTCTGATGATGTTCGGCAAGATTTCAGGTGAATGTAATTTCCGGGGAAAATTCCTTTTCTCAACTCTCAACTGGACTCGCGTGTATTTCTCGAGCAACAACCACTGTTGTCCGCAAAGCGCCGTACATGGAGCAAAAAGAATTCAGGAAAAACAATCAACCCAATAAATGAATCACAAAAACTGTCCAACGAAAAATCAAAGTCTCGTGCTGCGTTAAAAGCCAAACAATCCAAGACAAGTTTGAAAAATGGGCCGCGAGGGGGCGTGCCCAACGTTGGTTCCAAAGGGAAGGAGCGGCGACGGAAAAGGCGCCATCCCCTTGGAGCCTCCTCCGCTTGGTTCTCGGTACCTCGAATAGTCTGCAGACCCGAGACAGCGGGCAGGGAGCTCAGAGAGGTCAGGTGCGGCCAGGCCATTGCAGGAAAACCAAGAGTAGGACCCCAAAATGTAGGCAGTGAAGGGATGCCCGAGTCGGCGTGATGCGCTCCCTCTTACGAGTACCAGTCAAGAGGCGAGCAGCGGCATTCGGGACCGACTGGACGCTCCTAATGGAGGATCGGCTGACTTCAAAGTCAAGTGCATGACAGTCATCCAGCCGTGATGGGACGAAGGCATGAAGGACTGTTTCAAAGCGCTCACCGGGGGAAAGGAGAGACTTTTGACTTGAGCCCGCTGCCAAAGATGAAACAGGCCCGATTTATCCACCGCACCAATTAGCCGGTCCCATTTCAAATCACGGTCCAGTTTCAGACCCAAATTCGAGACCGTTGGCTTAAAATAAGGAGCTGGTGGACATCGTCGTGCACGTTGTGTCCAGGCGGAATAGTTCAACCAAGCCTTTTGCCGTTAAAGCCGTCTTATCCTCAGTGAAATGAAGATCCAATTGTGCACCGCTTGCTTCATCTTTGTCATTTCAGTCCCTTGGTTAAACTTGCTGTATACATTGATCGTGCTCCTCCTTGGCAATTTGCTGCAATATGTGTGTGTGCGCGCGTGTGCGTGTGTGTGTGATTACTCCCAGTGTGATCGATGAGGTGCCGTTGCCGCCCGCTCTTTTGGTTGGTGCCACAGTCAGAGCAATACGAGTGGCACCGCAGGAAGTGAAAACACCTCGCAACGTACGCACGAAGCTGCGGTGACTCGTCACGGCGTTATTTGAAGTTCAACGTTTTGCGTTTTTATTTGTGTATATATAAATAATATGCTGTCCACGCGATGGATGATGAGGCGAGCAGGTTACACGACAACGAGCAGAGGTGTTGCGAACCCAAATATACATTCTGCAGTTCATTGAAACGCGGGCGGAAGCGATATGAAAGGTCCGCATCAAATATTGACGGGGCAAATTAGCTTCCTTTCAAAAGCGAATGAGAACATCGCATGAAATATTCATGACAGAGGATATGTAATTAGAACTCAAGTGTATTTCTGGAGCGCTTGAGAACAACCGGCGCTGTACACAAAATGCCGTACGTGGAGCCAAAAAAAAATTCTCGCGATTGATTGGTCCTTCTTCAACTCCTTATGGACTCGCGATGTTCACAACTTTTCCAATCGCAGCCCTGCAGTCAGCCAATTTGAGTCTTACAGACAAAAAAAAAAAAAACAAAACAAATCAGGGGCAAGACCTCCGTCTTTTGGAGAAGAGCTCGGAACAGTTGCCAATGATGTCGTCAAAATGCGAGAAAAAAAAAAAAGACATTCAAAAGTCATCTTGTGCTAACTGGTCGATCGTGTAGCAAATAATGCTGATCGCATAACTTTCTGTTTTGCAAACGTTTGGTGTCAAATTTTGCATGATTGGGATTCTCCTTCTGTCATCACGTTCTTCCATGATAGATTGACTGAATCATTTGTCAGAAGGGGGGCAACAGCTTCACCGTCGTCTAACCTGCACAAAAAAACATTTGGCGAAAATTCAAAGTCATCATTGAAAAACAAAAGAAAACAAAAAAAAAAAACAAAACAAGACACTTTTGGACTTACTTTGAAATTCCGACACAATAAAAAGGGGGTATTAAACTTGTCAGTGCCCCAACACAAACCATAGTCGTAGCGTATTGCGGCGGCAGCAATTCCGGCAAGTATATTGGACTTCATCTCCGAGCAACGGGACCTCTCAAGTGCTCTCGCAAAGAATTATAGGGAATCGAGCAGCTCCGAGACGGCGACAGCAAGGATGCAAGGCAAAGGCAGCGCAACTCTCTGGAGAGAAAGGGAAAGAAAAAAAAAACCACAGCTGCTAACTACAAATGATGGACAAGCGGGGATTTTCGACGCAAGGTCAACAAAATGAGGAGAAGGAAGACAAACAAAAGGATTCCAAAAAAAAAAAGAGAAAAGTCAATTCCCAAAGGACATTCCGGCATCCGATTCAACCTTGCATAATTAAGGTAATTGTTTAATGATTTAATTAAGATAAATAAACGGAGCGTTTTCACTCTGCCCCCCCCCCACCCGACCCCCCTCCGATAATCGACTTGACTGAAGTTGCTTGCCGAGATGCGTGCCCCGCGATTGGCTAGCAACCGGTTCAGGGTGTCCCCCAGCCTACTGCCCCGAAGACTGCTGGGATCGGGCTCCAGCACGCCCCCGCCACCCTTGTGAGGAGAAAGCGGATCAGAAAACGGATGGCGGGATGTTCCAAAAGTGTCTTTTATTGCGCCGATGGAAGTCGTCTCAAACGCTAAATAGTTTACATGGATTCTGCGGTCTGCCATCCAGTGCTTGTTTACTTTTTACCTTGGCCGAGCAATTTTTTTTTTCCCGGCATTGGTATTTTCCGAGTCGCACGCAGTTGCAACAAATTGTAGCTGCAGCTCTCAATTGTCGTCGATCGGTATTCCGCAGCACCAGACGCTTGAAAGCGCTCGAGGACTTTCTGTATCATTGCACAGCTAAAGTCGGACCGCGATGACCGCGACGGGTGACTTGGTCAAAACGGCGCGACGGTTCCCTGCACCGACGGCGCAACCGCCGTCTTGCGTCACTGATCGCTCGATCTCTGCTCGATGGCTCCGCCCAATGCCGCGCAGCCGCCGTCGGGTGCCGCGACTGCCCCATGGCAACCGAACACGACGGAAAGTCTTTTCGCTACTTTTATGTTTGATCACCGTTGCTTGTTATCGCCTATCCTACGGGAGACAAATTCCTTGCGTGTTTGACATACTTGGCCAAGAAAGGTGATTGGGATTTCTTCATTGGAGTTTTCCCTCGTTTCCGACTCTTGCGACGCGTTCTGGATCGAGCCTTGTCTCGGAATGCTCCCTTTCCAAGTCGGTCCGCGGTAACGCCTCGTTATCCTTGTGCTGGAATGCGGCCATTAAAGTCAACCTTCATCCGAAGGCGGTCCCCTCAGCGCGTTTAAGACCCGATCCCAAGGCCTCACGCTTGATTCACTCGTCGAAATATGAAAGCTAATGGTCCGTTAATGTGAAGACAACCGGCCGTTGGACTCGCTTCTGTGAATAGTTTGTCATTTGCAGAGTCGCCGGTCTGTTTCACAAGCGGCCATTTTTTTTACTTTCAAGGCATCGCTGCCGCTCCGAGCGAGGCGAAATGGCTTGCGAGGGGGCAGTCGTCGCTCCGCACGGCCGTCGGACGGGATCATATCGGCTGTTGAAAAGCGACGAAGTTGACCCAGTCGCCGCACCAAATGATTTTCTTGCTTCTTGAAAACATTTCCTTGGAGTTGAGAGAGCATGACCGCACAGAGATATCCGGCGAGGTCATTTTTTTAAAGGTTAACGCAAAAAGTTCTGCATTTGTCTGTGGAGGGTTTTTTTTTTTCTGCCGCAACAAGGAAACAATCCTAAGAAAGTAGCAAAGGGCTTCACATGCCCACAGTTGACAAATATCAACAACATCCCCTGACCTTAACTCCTAGAAGGGCAAGTTTCCCCCCCCCCCCCACCCTCCAAATGCCAAGGAGTCCAAGTCAAGTCCAGAGACAACAAACTCCCACTTTGATGCCTCGTACCTCTCGGGAGGAAGCTTGGAAGACGGCTCCTGCTGGCGCGCTGGGTTCGCTCAGGATGAAGGATCCTCGCTGCGGCCGATGTTTCCGAGTTGCGCGTCAACAATTGTGGCAGGTGTCGTCATGAAATCTCAATTGTGCAGTTTGGGAGGCAGGTTGGAGGAGTCGGCAAAAAAATAGCGCCTTTCCGCTGTGACTTTGTGAACTTCAAGCAAACGTGCATTTGGGTGTCCAAACGGTGTCGTCGGAGGGCCGCCTACAGAAAAACGGAAGGAGGAGAAAGGGCCACTTGAAAATCGGTGGACTAAAGTCGCTCAAGAAAGCAATTCGACATCGTTTGTATTGTCTCGTTCATTTCCTCGGCTTTGCGAATCAGCCAATGTCGAGAAAAGCTCTCCAACCCAGGTGCCAAAGTCAAGGCCCGGGGGCCAGATCTGGCCCGCTACATCATTTCACGTGGCCCGCGAGAGCAAATCACGCACGCCAACTTCCATGAGGCTTGCTCGAGTCTGAACCCAAATTTCAAATTGTCACGTCGAATCCTGAACAACAAGATTTCAACAAGCCATTTCTCTGGACTTCTGATTTCAAAGCAAGTCAGCCATCAATTTGTTGCTCGCCGTGTATGGACGGCGGGCTGCAAATGGCCCCCCCCCCCCCGACGAGTCGTAGGTTGGACCCGGCTTGCACCTGGGGGGGGGGGGGGGGTTGCTAATTATCACCTTGCATATGTGTAACAAAATAAGAAAGCAAAACTCCCTTTTCTTTGACCATTTCAGTCTCGCCATCTTCCAAATTTCAAAGTGCATATCAGGACACCTAAATTTGCTCCTCGAGGACCGTGGGGATGAAGGAAGGAAGCCAAGTTTTGAGCAAATGCACTTGCTGCTGATGAGCCTCCCATGAATAAATGAACAGGTTTGAAGCGAGTTGGTTTTCCACAGCAAGAGTTGAACGCGCCCCAGTTGCAACATCAAACCGGGTCTGGGCTAATTACTATTCGCTTTGAATGGCGCTAAATAAAACATGGTTTTTTTTTTTATCAGCAAGAACACGGGGTCGACGGCGAGTGGCGCGACAAAAACAGCCTTTATGAGCATTCCAAGTATTCGCGGCGCCCTCCGTCCAAAACACAATCTCATCTCTGTCGGATGGGCTTTTTTTTTTTTTTTTTTTTGAGAAACAGAGCCGTGTTGTCCAGATGACTCAAGCCGAAGAGGGCGCATACCGAGTTACAAACGGGTTCATGGATAAGACCATTATCCAGCGGGCATGGTGTGAGATTTCCCATTTGCCGGCCGCCAGTGAGTTTGTACGATTGCTCTTGCGCCGGCGTGATGAGATCAATGAGCTCCCCCATTGAAGGCCCGGGTCCTAATTGCAAGGAGTAATCATCAGACCAGTGACTGAGCTGTATCTGCTGGAGGGACATTCACCTCGTCTTGCGTCTGTCGCGTTCCACTCGCCGATGATTTTCAGACGCCGATCGCATGACAATTCGTCCTCCCGCCACCAGGCACTTGTGATGTGATTTGTGGCCAAACCGGAAATAACAAGGATCTATTTTGGTCAACGCAGCGTAGCGCCTCCAGCAAAGTCACACGGACAAGTTGTTTATTTACGACGTCGGGGTCCCTTCTGCGGTTCGAGTGTGTCCTTTTGCATTTTGATGGATCAATATCGCATCGTTGTACACGCGCGGGAAGCCGACGAGCATCTCAAAAACAGAAACTTAGAGGCACTCCGTCATAAGACTGAAACGACAAAAATGATTTGCTTTGACATCGAGAGAGAGAGAGAGAGAGAGTGCTCTTAATGCAAAAAAAAAAAAAAAAATCTGTTCATGTTCGAAACCGATGATGAATTGTGATGAAGACAATTGCACCAACATTTCGGATTTTATGGACATGAAACAAAGAAAGGAATCATTTTCCTCTCCGTACGATTGCTCTTGCGCCGGCGTGATGAGATCAATGAGCTCCCCCATTGAAGGCCCGGGTCCTAATTGCAAGGAGTAATCATCAGACCAGTGACTGAGCTGTATCTGCTGGAGGGACATTCACCTCGTCTTGCGTCTGTCGCGTTCCACTCGCCGATGATTTTCAGACGCCGATCGCATGACAATTCGTCCTCCCGCCACCAGGCACTTGTGATGTGATTTGTGGCCAAACCGGAAATAACAAGGATCTATTTTGGTCAACGCAGCGTAGCGCCTCCAGCAAAGTCACACGGACAAGTTGTTTACGACGTCGGGGTCCCTTCTGCGGTTCGAGTGTGTCCTTTTGCATTCTGATGGATCAATATCGCATCGTTGTGCACGCGCGGGAAGCCGACGATCCGACCGCATCTCAAAAACAGAAACTTAGAGGCACTCCGTCATAAGACTGAAACAACAAAAATGATTTGCTTTGACATCAAGAGTGCTCTTAATGCAAAAAAAAAAATAAATAAAAAATCTGTTCATGTTCGAAAACGATGATGAATTGTGATGAAATTTCACAATTATGCGC